ACAAAATAATATTATGAAGTTATATTCTGTGAATCAGTAAATAACAGCGATCTACTCTAAATGTGATGCAATGTTCTTTTCTCTCTCTCTCTCTCTCTCTCTCTCTCTCTCTCTCTCTCTCTCTCTCTCTCTCTCTCTCTCTCTCTTTCTCTCTCTCTCTCCCCTCTCTATGGAGTAGCTGATTTTATGGTTTTCTTGGTCTCTCTCTCTCTTCATCTTGTTTTGTATTAGAACCATATACATCTTTCTACTTTTTCCTGTTTCACATGATCAGTGTTAATTGAAAGTTGCCCCAGGTATTAAAGCAGTGTGGTCTCTGGACAAAAGAAATACAAATTATTTTCCTTACCTTATGTTTTCATATAAAGCTTGCCTGATGCAGGTTTTTTGGTATAATTGCTTTAGGTAACATGGAAGTTATTGGAGTTTAAGCACAATAGCCTCCTTTTCTGGACCCACTGTCCTGCTTATACAAACCCCTAGTTAGTTTATTGTTTCTGTGTGAAATTATGTATCTCATAACTCCAGAGACATGTCACTACTGTCCACACAGTGCCCCAGGTTTCCTTGTTTTGTGAAGTCTGAACTTTCACTTCTGCAGAGGGACATTCAAAACTCGTTCTGTATGAAAACCTGAGGCAAGCCTGATGGAGAACTCTCTTATTGGAGGACTATAATTGAGGCTCATGCTTAATAAGTTTTAGCAGATATTTTTATCATGGACAATTCAGTTATGAGAAAACCTACTTGTCTGATAAGTAAATTATGCATCTACAAGTGTTATTATAATAGAATTTTACTTGTAGGTCTCCTGGAACCCATTTCATTAATTTCATTGGCAGCGGCAAATATATTAAGTTCATTTTGAAATTTTTATTAATACTTGTCAACTACTCCTTTTCATATAAAATACTCATGTCTTAAAGGAGATTTTATGCAAATGTATTTTCTTTTAGGGGTCATTGTAATAAGATCAGTTGTACTAAATATAATTGAAAGTGTTTCCTGTGCCCAGTACAGTCTGATGATTATTTTTATGCAGAAAAATCAAGAGAGGATATGCTCCCAGGCTTAAACTTGAGTAGTAAAATCCTGTGTGTTTTTCTACCTTTTCCATTATGATCATGTAATCAACTAAGTATGAAAAGAAAATGACTTTTAAAGAAATAAATCCAAGTCCTGTCGCTATAAGACTACCAATTGCATTAGTAATGTATGTGGCAAGCCTGCAAGTTTCAGTTTACCTGATCTATCCTTATGTAAACTCAAATGTGTTGTGAGATCCTTGGGGTATTGATGGATACCAGAGCTGGTAGTCATATTATATCCAGAAGTGTAAAAAATCCCAAATGCTGGATGGTTAGGTGGGACATGCTACCCTCTGTGTTCTATCCCAGGGATGCTGCCTCGCTGACATCCAGGCACTCCAGAACCCCTGGGGAGCATTCAGGATCCCCAAGGGGAAGACTGTACACTACCCAGGGTTGACATGAACCTTTGTGATGTGGCTTTGTGATTATTTTGGGAAGGCAATGCAAGGAACAGCCATTAGCTAGAAGAATACAGCACGCCTCCACATTGCTGGTGGGCATTAGAATAATAATGTGAAATTGCTGTCAACTGGCCCACCACAGGCATTCTCTAAGCTGTTAAATCAGAAAACAAAATTCTCCCTACTACCATAATATTAATACCTGGAACAATTTGATTCTGTTATGATGTGTTTACAAATTGAATCTTGGCAGTAGCAAAACTAGGTTCCTCTCAGGTGACCAGAATGCTGTCTTCTCATCCCGTGAAAGGCAGGCAGTCCTCAGAGTAAATCTTTCTATTTACTTCATAAAACATATAGGACATGATAACAAGGGCTTTGCAAAGGTGTCAGGAGAGTGGGCCACAGGGGAACCGTATCTCATCATAGTAACCAGATTACTTGTAGGATTGTTTATGCCTTGGTTTTGAAAGTCTCCTTTTTTAAAAATTCTTCATCTAGCACATTGCACTCTTCTTGATAAACTGTATATATGAGCCTTGCCTGGCAATAATGACCAGTCATTACTAAGCAGATTTGGCCCTTGACCTGTAGGCAATTGAATTCTAAAGCAAGCAACCATGCACACCAGGACTAGGGAGGAATAATTGCAAGTGTCCACTGCGTGACGGAAGAACATCAACAATTTTATTCTGTGTGGACCTTCTTCCAGAAGTTATTACACAGCAGAGTGGCTGGAAGAAAAAACACTCCATTGTTTCTTTGCAAATAAGCCTTTGAAGAGGAGATGTTGGTAGAGAAATCCCCTATTTTCCAAGGAAGAGATTTGACAGACCTGCAGAGCACTAAGGTGTGGGGAGTGAGACATGCTTATCAATATCATAGTTCCTACTTGGAACCCATTAGGAGAAATGGGTTCTCCCCAAATCATTCTGGTGAATTAACACAGTGCATTTCCTCCCACCAGGATATCTGCAGCCAACTATGATTTGGTCAACAGCTGGTGGTGGTGCAGTTATTCACAGTGCATGATGTGAGGAAATAGTAGTTGTCATTTACAGAATTGTAGAGGTGTCAGCATAAGGATTTCTTTTCATTCCCTTTTTTTTTTTTTTTTTTTTTTTTTTTTTTTTTTTTTTTTTTAAATAGCAGTAATCCCAAAGTGAGATTAGAAAGCTGTCTATTTGTTGGTTTATAATATTATCCTCTCACTTTCCTGTTGGAAGCAGATATGGCCAAGTTAATGTTTCTTAAATGGAGTATTTTATGATCTTTAAATAGAATTGTCTTTGCTGCAGGGGTTCTTATCAAGGAGCCACGCAATTCTAAGTGTTAAAAATGGGATGATGTTTCAAGCTAATGTCCTTAGAGGCAAATGCTCTTTCTCTCTGATCCTATCTGATGTATCCATTGGATAAATAAGAATTTCTTAGGAGAAGTTGAGGATGTGACTTTTGCTAATGAGATTTTTTTTTTTTAATAAAGAATCAGGGCAGCCTGAATTTAACCAACCCTTGAAGTCATGAATACCTGAAATTATAATTATGTAGGCAGTTATTCTTCTAGACCAAAGAAAAATCAATATAAACAAAAAAAGTTCCTTCTTTTGTTTTGCATTGTCTGACCATAGTAAATGCTAATATATATATATATATATATATATATATATATATATATATATATATATATATAAAATAGATGGGTAGCGTGGAGAGCCATCTGTCCATCCAGCCATCCTCGAAATCATACAGCCCTATTGTCATTACTTTAACACCAAATGTGAAAGGAAAAGAGAAAAGTACCTCTGAGCCACTTACTAGCATTCAATGCAAATTAATTAACTTTCTGTCCAAGTGAATGATTATCATCACTTTTTGGATTTCTGAAGGTTATAAAAGCTTAACTTCTGTTTGAAATTATTAAAGCATTCTGAGATTAAATCAATATTCAGAAGGGCAGTTCTTGTTATCTATTTTTAGTCTAACTCTTGAGTTACACCTGAGTATAAGAAATTGATTAAAGCCTGGCCAGTTTGGCACAGTGGCTGAGCATCAACCTATGAGCCAGGAAGTCACAGTTCCATTCCCAGTCAGGGCACATGCCTGGTTATGAGCTCCATCCAGTGGGATGCATGCAGGAGGCAGTGATTGATGATTCTCTCTCGTCACTGATGTTTCTATCTCCTTTTTCCTCTCCCTTCCTCTCTGAAATCAATTATATATATTGAGTGAAAATCCAGCTACCAAATAGCTTGGTACATGAGACAAGCTATCCTATATAATAAAGAAGTAATATGCAAATTAACCATCATACTCTCACAAGATGGCTGCCTAAGACCAAGCCAGCAAGGGGGTTAGTGGGAATGACCAAAACGACTGAGCAAGCAGGTTGTGTGGGTTGACAGGCCGACAGGGAGGTTAGTGAGGGATGACCAAACTACTGAGCAGCAAGCTGCATGGGTCGACCAGGCCGGCAGAGGGAGGCAGTTGGGGGCAACGAGGCCAGCAGGAGGGCAGTAAGTGGTGATCAGGCTGGTGGGGAGGGGGCAGTTAAGAGTGACCAGGCCAGCAGGGGAGGGTAGTAGGGGGGCAGGTCTGCAGGGGAGGACAGTTGATAGTGATCAGGCCATCAGGGGAGCAGTTAGGTGTCAATCATGCTGGCAGGGGAGCAGTTAGGTGTCAATCAGGCTGGTTAGAGGCAATCAGGCAGCCAGGCAGGTGAGTGGTTAGAAGCCAGCAGTCCCGGATTGTGAGAGGGGTCTCAGATTAGAGAAGGTGCAGGCTGGGCTAAGGGACACCTCCTCCCCAGTGCATGAATTTTGTGCACCGGGCCTCTAGTAGTTCGTAATTAGTATAGATATGAACTATTAGTCCATAATTAGTGTAATGTAGCAATTAAGAAAGATGAAAAAATAATTTTATTACTCCATCAAGTAAAAAACTCTTTTTCTTTTAAATTAATTTTGCAAAAATACAAAAGTGCTTAGCATAGATTTTTCTCAACCATCTCAGTCCAAACCTAATGGGATCAGACACAGTATAAATTTCACCGCTGGGGGTGAGAGGGAAATTTAGACTCTATATTCCTGCTTGGTGACTGTCTGGGAAGAGCTGCCAACTTTGCCAACTGGGTGGCTGTTTTGTGATTTAGACACAATAAATCAAGCAATTTCCTCCTAGAAACTTGAATTGCCTCCTTAGCAGAATGATGAGAGTCAGATTTAAGCTGTGGGGTTAGATGAGAACTTTACAAAAGATACCCAGAGGACTCTATTAATTGCACTCTTTTTTTTTTTTCTTTTAATATATATTTTATTGATTTTTTACAGAGAGGAGGAGAGAGGGATAGAGAGCTAGAAATGTCGATGAGAGAGAAACATCAACCAGCTGCCTACCGGGGATGTGCCCACAACCAATGTACATGCCCTTGACCGGAATTGAACCTGGGACCTTTCAGTCTGCAGACCGACACTCTACCACTGAGCCAAACCGGTTTCGGCTCACTGCACTCTTGTTTAACATGTAATATAGTTTTTATTCCCAGGAAACTTTGCTGGTAAATTTTCTGTAAGTATCAGCTTACGAGTTAGAGGACCGAATGGCGCTTTTGAGGTTTTGTTCTGCAGGCAGTAGAGGCAGTATTCACAGAGTGATCATCTCTCCTCCTGGTTCATGTGTGCAGGGCTGACAAGGGCAGGGAGCTTACTCATGTTGTACAGGATGTGAGTAGGGCTTATGATCTATCTATCAGCTAAAAGTAGCAAGAAAACACATTTTTACATAGTGGACCCTGTGTGCCAGGCACCATCCAAGCCCACTGAGGAATCAACTCCCTGTGTGGTCCTGAGCCTGTGAGCTGGGCCTCAGGATGCAGAAGGCCCAGAGATGTGAGTCATCTGGATCCGGGAGTTTAACCTGAGCCGTCGGACTCCAGGATCCACATACCAAACCATGTGCTCCCTGGAGCACCTACTGTGTGCCAGGAACCCTTCTAGACTCCACTGAGTCCACAATGAACAGGACAGACTTTGGACCACAGAGCCTGACTCCTTGAAGCTTCTATGCCACGGGTCAGGATGTGGGAAAATGGCTTAAAATAATACTTGAAGTAAAAGAATGTTGCAGGTAATTTATGAGTAGGGTGTTTAAACTGGCTAACATATGCTTTGGGGGAAGAACTAAGCCATTAGTTGCATCTGATAAACAGAGTTAATTAAAATCATCTTTTCTTGCATACACTAGCCAAGAAGACCTGTTTTTTTTCTTGCTATATAAATGTAACGCTGAGCTCCCAGTGCCAAGACCAATTCAATTCACTTGCTCAGTTACAAGTTAAAAGGCAGAACTTTCATAGCATATTAGCTGTCTGCTACTTTGGGGTAATGACTGGCTGAATTGATGAACTTTATATAATGATCTGTTGCTATGGCAACATGCTGCCCAGTGAGTGGAAGAGGGCATTTCATCATTACCTTATGGATAATGGTTGGAACAGCAAAGGATGCAGATACAAAAGGTTTCCTTTTACGCGGCGGTAGGCTGGGTCAATGAGACAAGCCCTAAGCACGGCTCTCAGATTCAGTGCCTGGGATCAGAGTCCGGTGCGCGAGTGGAAATAAGGTACATTCGCTTCCCAGGCCTGTGGCCTTGGTGTCTGCAGGGCTTCTCCAGCCTGTCACAGATTGCTGTGTCAGAATTGCCACTTGTCCCTTTGGTTTTAATTTTGGTACTAGATTCAGCACGGGGAAAGCAGAATAATAAACACTCCTTTCAAACATGACAAAACCTAGAGAAACAGTAAGAGAAAAATGGAGTCAAGATTAAAGATTTCACTGTCCAATGCTTTGCAATAACCACGACATCTTTATATCACATTCTCCAAAACCAGCTCTCTGTTTCTTGGAATGGCTTTTTTCTTTTCTTATAAAACAACAACAGAAATTCTATATATCAGGTATGTTGCCACTCCACCTTCTAAGATTTTTATTATACCTTAGAGAAAAAAATATATATTTATTATGAGTTTTGGAACTGTTGCAGGCTGCTGTTCTTAAGTTAAATTTTTGGCATCATTTTCATTGTACAGGGTTACTATACACATAGGGTATAGTGACTTCCACTTATTGTTTCATTTTTTAAAAAAACTTTAGTGAATGAAGGAAGGCTGTCTTTCATTGAAGTATGAAAAATAAACATTTAATTCACAATTGCAAACATTTTATTGAGTTGACCACATTTCTTTTTTTTTTTTTTCATCTCTCCCTCGCTCCTTCCTTTCTGCCCTCCTTCTTTCCTACAAAAGGGTTTGTGTTTTTTTGTTTTTTTTTCATAAAATCTTGAATTTTGGTGAGACTGAAAAAAACACACACATTATGATCACCGACCTTTTCCTTAGCTACTTGAAAGTTCATTCTTGAGTGTTCATTAGTTTTCTTTAATTTCCCCTAAAGATCACCAGAGTCATTAGCCAAAAGGTCGTGAGCAATAGCATCAGCTATATGAGTTACTGGATAATGTTTATCAAAATGCATCAGTTCTTCACAATGTTACATGTCCCGCATCGTCTCCTGTTCTTTTCTACCATATAACTATATGTATAATTTATAGGCATCAAATAAAAGAAATGTTAATATTTGAAAATACTCATCAGTAATGTAAATTTTAGATCATAATCAGTAAAAAATTTGAGTCTGACATTATTTATAGTACTCTTGCATTAGAACTGAGTCATGATATGTTGGAGAAAGAGGGAAAATAATTTAGTCTATTTTTAAAATTGCTTTGAGCAAGTATCTGGATGACAAAATCTATTTTTATATTTCTTACTCTTGACTTGGAGTCTCTGTGCTAGTTCGCTGGGGCTGCCAGAACAAAGATAACAAAGTACCACATACAGAGCGGATTGAACAACAAATTTATTCTCACAGGCTAGAGCAGTGGTTCTCAACCTTTCTACTGCCACGAGTTCCCCATGTGTGGTGACCACCAATCATAAAATTATTTTCTTTGCTACTTCATAACTGTAATTTTGCTACTGTTAATAAGTCATAATGTAAATATATGTGTTTTCCGATGGTTTCGGGCGACCCTGCTAGTGGTTGGGACCCACAGGTTGAGACAAGGCTGAAGCACACTTGCTCTGACAAGGATGTGGCAAAGTCATCCTTTCTTTCTCAGCAGAAGGGCAGGGTCAGATCATGACAGAGACCAATGATTTGCACAACAATGGAACAGACCTAGAGCACTTCATTTGTTGTTGTTTTGCTTTATAACATTTATCACAGTTTAATTGCTAATTCACTTGCGTTGTGACTTCTACACTTGACCTTAAGCTCCATAGGGAGAGAAGAGGAGGGGGAGGGGAGGACAGGGGAAAGGAGGGGAGGGGAAGAGAGGAGAGGGGAGGGGAGGGGAGGAAGGGGAGGGGGCGGGAAGGAAGAATAGTATTCCTTGGAATTCTTTGAAATTTCTTGGTAATTTTGTGTTTCAAATTATCCATTTGTATGTAATAATATTGTGTGACATGATGGAAATGGTAACTAACACAAGGATGGTAATCATTGCAATATCTAAGTGTATCAAATCAACACATTGCACACCTAAACACACTGTACAAAATGTTATATGTCTATTATATCTTAATTTTAAATAATTCCTATATACTCACGATTAATCATTCTTTTTTTAAATATATTTTTTTACAGAAAGGAAGAGAGAGGGATAGAGAGTTAGAAACATCAATGAGAGAAACATCGATCAGCTGCCTCTTGCACACCCCCTAATGGGGATGTGTCCCCAACCAAGGTACTTGCCCAGGACCCTTCAGTCAACAGGCCAACACTCTATCCATTGAGCCAAACTGGTTTCGGCAGGATTAATCATTCTTTAAGGAAGTTGGGCACCTATTATGTGTCAGGCACCAGACCAGGCCCCTGAAATGGAAAGAACAAGATCCCATCCCCGCCCATGGGAGATGCCCCTTGTAGAAAGAGGAGTTAGTGGTGGAAAAATGCCCTGACTTGGGTGTTACGGGTACCACCGGAGGAAACTTGTGCCTGGAAGTGTGCGGAGGGGCCAGAGAAGACTGTCAGCCATCTGAACTATGATACCAGGACAGCAGGCTTCAGAGCAGGATGGCCACTTCAGGGAAGGACCTGCCTGTGCAGGGACCAGGGCATTTGCAGGCTCACTGTGCTGCTCGCGCCCCCTCGTGACCAGCACAGAGAGGTGAGAGGAAAGGGATTGGAAGGTGAAGAAACACACAGGCCTAGCAAGGCCCATGGATGACTCAGATGGAGCCTTGGCCTCATGCAGGTCTGAAGCAGGAGGCCGAATGGTCATGTGTGCCCTGATGGACACTCCAGACTCCGGGAGGGGAGCAGAGTGAGTATTCTGGAGACATCCAGAGAGAAAGGTGTTCTATGCTAAGGTGACAGTGTTCTGGCCATGGAGTGAGAGCAAAGTGCAGAAGGAGGAAGGAAAGGCTTCAAGGAGCCAAAAGAGCTTCATAGATGCTGTGGGGAAGGCAGTTCCACATGTGCTGACCCTGGGGCCACTGGAGGGAGGGGCTTCAGGAGGCTCCTCCTGGAGCAGATGCTTCAGGAGGAGGAGGAGACCCAGCAGAGGCAGAGGAGGGGGGCCACTTCTTAGTTCCACACTGAGCACCACTCTCTGAGGTGCTTCTAAGCCCCATGGTGTTGTCACATCCAGGGCAGCCAAGAAAACAGATCCCGGTGTGCAGAAATATGCTGGAAAGTTTTGATCTGCGATGGTTATTTCTTTGAAGTCATTTTATTAAAGATATTTTTAAATTTTTTTTACGTGCAATTGCTTAGGAGTTTGAAATGCATGTCAGTGTACTGACATTTGAACAATTATTTAGGCAGGTTTCTCAGAGTAATAATCTACCAAAAATACATGTGAAGCAGTAAGGGATCTTTGCTAAGCTGGTGCATAGGATTTAGTTCTCTAAGCTTTGTTTCCTGTGAAAATAGTGTAGTAAGAGACAGGAGATGAGGATTCACCTGCTGGACTCCCCTTTCTTTTGTCCCCTCTTCACCCCACGCCTCCATTTCTATAAAATGCTCTCTGTTGCCCCAAGTGTCTCTTATTTAAGCTCATAGGAACCTTGCTAGCACTGCCACCCAATCAGTGTTTTCTGATGTCCCTGTCGTTGATCCACAGGAGGCTGTCATCTCCCTCTGCCGTGAGGACCTCCTCTTGGGGTGCTGAGGCCGAAACATCGCTGCTCTCTCACCTCCTTGAAACACTCACTTTGTCCCGGTCATTGCCTCAATCCCCTGTGTTTATTCGTGTTTTGTGCTATGCCACCAGGAAGACCCTGAGTCAACGAAGGCGAATTCCCCTTCATTGACTGTGATTTCCAAGTCAAAATTAAGTTGAGTCATACACATTTTCTTCAACACTGAAATCTATGTGCTGTGTATGTCTTAAAATGTCTGCCTGCCTATTCCACAGACTGCCCCCTCCCTCTATTCTCCACCCCCCTCTCTTTCTCTCCTGCTCACAAACACAGACAACCCCCCCAAAAAAGACAGTTTTCATCATCCCAGCAGAGAGCAGAATTATGCTTTTGATGCTTGACCTTTCTCAAACACATTAACCAGCTAGCTTAAAATAGAATTAAGTAATAGTTTACTAATGGCGCATGCATTATTTTGTAGTCAGTTCATAATACATGTTCGAAGGAGACGTTTCAGATAGCCATTTTTGAATAAATTCAGGACAACATGTGTCTGCATAAGTATTTTTCCTTTAAATGTAAACATCTTTTCTCTGTAAAAGTAAACATCTCTGAGGACTGTCATGAAAACAAAAAAACTGGAAGCATTTCCTGTCCAGAGCCTTCCAAGATGGATGATTGACAGGAGGCCTTGGAGCCACAGGGTTAAGATTTACTTCTGGTTTTCGGTCGCTTCTTAGCCTCACTTTCTGTGAGCAGAATAAGAATGCTGGAAACCTTGGGCCCTGCTGGGTTTCACTCAGTCAGTGCCTTCAGGATGACTTGAGGAATGGATGGCATGTCAGGGAGGTGCTTCTAGAGGGTTGGGTTCATGCTCTGGGTTTGCAGGCTGATCGCAGGGGCCTAGCCCCAGGGACAATAGCTTGTGTTTTAAGTCTGTGTCCCTGACACATGGCTGAAAGGTCCTTCTTCTGTCCCTCACTGGCTGAAAGGCTCTTCTTCTGTGCCCCTCACAGCCAATCTGGGGAGTCTGGTCAGGGACACTCATCCTTGGGCTGTGATCATAAATAAGGAGCAGACACATGTGGTGAGCAGAAAAACTGCAGCTGGAACTGCAGGGGCCCTGTCGGCAATGGATGTTTATCCTACAGTTAGAAGACTTGGGGGAGCTGAGACCAAGAAAAGCATCCACAAGAAGAACATCGGAGCTAGAGAGGAAGGGGTTGATGTAAACTGGGAGGAAGGGGACAGAGCAGGGCAGGGTGGAAAAGGGGCAGCCTTCACTGTCCTGCGGATTTGCAGTTGCCCATGGCCTGCCATCTGCCTTCCTGCGGTGGCAAAGCCAGGTCCTCTGACACTGGAAATCCTAGATTGTCTCTTAGAATTTCTGCAGCCTGATGGTCCACAGGGGGTAGGGGGCTCCTTTGAGCTGCAGTAAGCGCTGGTCTCCAGACCTGCTGCAGGACGAGGCAGATGGTAGCTGCGCCTCCTTTTCCCTGGCTGCATGGTAGGTCTGCCTAGAGCTGTCAAGAGGCCTGGTGCCCAGACCACACCCAGTGCGGCTGATTGACTAGTCTGGGCAGGGGCCCCAGCAATGGCATTTTCAAAGCTCCTCAGACGATCCTCTGAGCCCGCTGACCTCCTGTCCTCCCTTCCCTGTGGCCTTTGCAGATTACGGCACCATTAAGAAGGTGCGGGCGCCGCTGACGGCGAGCTCGGGGAGCTGCGTGCTGGAAGAGATCGAGCTCTTCCCGGAGAGGCGGCGGGAGCCCGTCCGGAGCCTGCAGATCCTGCACAGCCAGAGCGTCCTGTTCGTGGGCCTGCGGGAGCACGTGGCCCGGATCCCGCTGAAGAGGTGCCCGTTCCACCGCACGCGCAGGTAGGGCAGCCCCAGGTGCATCCAGCACGCGATGCCCCGTGGCCATGCCCCAGGGAGAGGGCCCGGGAGCCAGAGGCCTTCACATGCCCTGGGGCTGGGTGGCAGCTGGGCCTAAAAGTCCCTGTGTCTTGACTCCCAGGATGCAAGAGGCTTTTGAAGAAAAGGGATTTACTGTGATGCACGTAACCCACCAGTGTCTGTGGAGAGGAGCCGTATTATTACCTTGGCAAGCAACGGTCAGCGCTGCAACAAATTATTCAGCGCCTTAGAGCACTCACTGATAATGCTGCTAGTCATTAGCGTTCATGCATTAATTTGGCATAAGTTTAATTTTATTTGTGTAATGCATGTGTGCCTATGTGTATGTGTATGTGTGTGTGTGTTTACACATTCTCTCTATATATGTTAGAATATATGTATCAGAGCAATATGAAGTATGTGTCCTCTTAACCCAAAGTTAATTCCCTCAAAGTGGCAATGGCACCCCCTTTCTGGGCAGTCCTCACGGTTCTGTCCTGGGCACTAGCTGTGTTGAGATGCTGTTCTGAGGTTCCAGATTTACCCAGCCTGCTGGGAGGAGGGAAAGAGAAGGGAATTTCTACAGGCTCGGGGAACCCATGTACCAACACACCTTCCTCACCGCCTCGGCCAGTCTGCTCACCCACCACATGGTACCCACTATTGACTCAGTGCCGTTTGAAACTCAGTTTGTGGAAACACAGGCCCGTGTGCTTGGGAAGCTGCAAGCTTCTGGTGCCCCATACCTTAGACCAGCCCTGGACTGTTGGAATGCTGCATAAATGCTCTGGCCCCTGATGCAGATTGGCTGTGGGGAAATCATAATCTTCACTGTCCATAGGGACCAGGGCTCTTTTCAATACCAGTCCCCAACACAGGGCATCAGGGCAGCCTTGGTTTAGATGTGGATGTTTAGATCTCACTCACAAGCACCATGCTCAGGTCATTGCTCCTCAAACCAGGCGCCCAGTGGCACTAGCTTTGGGTTCAGAGGCTGTGAGTGACATTATAGACCTGCACATGCTGTTTCTCGATCTGGTCACTACAGTATTTTACACCCCACTTTCTTACCTAGCATGCAAATTACTGTAGAATAAAATGGAATAATGTGCAGAGTAGAAAATGTAAAGCACTCTATAAAGTGTAGAAGGAAGGTTTTATGTACTGTAATATCTCCTTCTGGATGATTCTAGAAAATGAAGTCTGGACTACCATACTTTCCTTGGAAATAACAATGCTATTGCGAGCGTTAATACTGGATGGTGATATTTATTACCAACTATCTTTTATAGAGCACCTTTTCCCTAATATTAACCAATGATTGCTTAAAACTTGTTTGGATTTGTGTTCCCTGCCAGACTAATTTAAGCCAGGGATTATTCTGCTAGTTGCTGATGACTCAGTGACTCAGTGGGGGACAGGCAGGGAGAGGTGGGGTCTTGCTAACAGACATGTCACACATCAGAATGCATTAGAAGGGCGCCAGTCTTGCAGCTCCATCCCCATGAGCTCTGAGATCCAACATGGACTTCTTCGGGGGAGTGACCCAGATTACTGTGCACAAAGACACAGGCCTGTGCCGTATGTAAGGTGTTTCTGGCGCCAGAGTGGGAGTTCGTGGCTTGCAAAGCATGAGGCCCTTCGTCCTCTCATGGTGCTTGCCTTCAATGGACTTGGGTTCCCGGCGCTCAGCTCCATGTAGGTTAGGAAGCCAAGTCCTGCATCAGATCCCGGAAGCCAGGCCTCATTGCGCCCTCTAGCACCTCTCACATGACTGCCCTTCAAGTCTGGTCAGGAATCCACAGGAGCGGCTGCCACCAGGCACTGTGGCCAGGGAGCAGTTCACAGCTCCTCTTTCTGTCAAGAAAATTAAGGCCACTTGTCTGTCATCATCAGGCTCCTGCAGCGGGAAGATTTGCTGTTACATCCAGAGCTGTCTCCCTGCGGGTTACTCGTCCCCTCGCTCGGAGGAAAGCAGAGAGAGACTGACTTCACTGTAGATCGATGGGCTGTAGTCTCTGTGTGCCCACTCTCAGTAGGGGGTAGTTTGTGTCTGACCCTAGCAGTTCCACTTGAGAAAAGAAAATCTTCATTTTTAACTGAAGAGTTTCTTTGGATTCTTTTTAATGTTTCTCTGCTATCCTCCTATAGAAAGACAGAAAAATCTCCTGAGTGAAAATAACTGGGGAAAAGAATCAATTTTTAAGAAACTAATATCTATGTGACCAGATTTTCTTTATATGAATTATGTGGGGGAATTTTTTTCTTGACAAAGGCATTGTGGATTTTTCAGAAATATGCCTAGGGAATTATACAAAATAGGAACAGAATAACAATTGAGTAACAGGAGGTTACTGATCTCTTCTTTAAATAAACTTTCTGTAGTAGAATGTACCATATTAGCAACTCATTTTAGCTGCTACTAGAAACTCCATTTTATTAATGAATTTTGAAGTGTTTAGGAAGAAAACTTGAGCTTAAGTAATCATATTTCCATTTTTCATTTCTTAGAATACCTTTTCTTCAAAGGCAATGCATAGTTCGTTGAATGTGTATAAATGATAACAATTCATACAATTCCACAACTTTTATATGTTTGGCATCGTGCTGGATTTTATCACCACTTGATCATTTTATCATGCCAATCATATACCCTGAGTCATATATTATCTACATTTTTCAGATGAAGAAATAGTGGCTTCGATTTTTGGTGTCCTGCTCAAGGTCACATGGCTCTAGTGACATGAAGCCCAGGTTCAGAGCTGACAGTTGCTGCACCTGTGGCCTAGGCTTTGTCTTTGGTTCACTGCCTCTTCCTCTCTGCTATTTACTTCTTAAAATATATATATATATATATATATATATATATATATATGTTGTGTGTGTGTGTATATATATATATATATATATGTATATATATATAATTGATTTCAGAGAGGGAGAGAGGGAGAGAGAGAGAGAGAGAGAGAGAGAGAGAGAGAGAGAGAGAGAGAGAGAGAGAGAAATTAATGATGAGAAAGAATCACTGATCAGCTGTCTCCTGCATGCCCCCATTAGGGATTGAGCCTGCAGCCTGGGCAGGTACCCTGACCTGCTATTTACTTTATAACCTAATGAGAAAACCTTAGTTCTTGTGGAACAGTAAAACCCCTTTACAGAAAAGAGTAATGATATAAAACATTAGCCAAAAGATTGGAAACCCTTGGGCCTTAGGGGTTTGTTTTGTTTGTGCTTTATTATAAAAACTAACTGGGAAGAGGAGCAAAGCTGCAAACTGGAAGAATCATAGCCTATATGAGGACACAAGAGGACACAAGCCTTTTAAATTTTGCTTTATAAAACTGGTGTGTGTGTGTGTGTGTGTGTGTGTGTGTGTATGAAACCATTAAAATAACAAGCATGGCTCTATTGGAGAATGGGCTTCTAATCTTCCTTAATTCAGTCAACCTGTACTAGTTATCATTTAGTTAAAGAAATTAACATCTCATTATTAAGAAAATTAGTATGGAAATTAAGACATTTATTGCTTGAAAGGGGAACTTTTTAACGGTGGAGTTACTTGGTTGGCACTGTTATTAATTACATATTCTCTAAAGACTGCATCTACCTTCTGGGCGAAATATAGGCTTACAAAAAGAAATTGTAGGATCCCACAGAGTCCCCAGCAAAACAATCTTGGCCATTCAGGTATGAATCATCTAAGCATTCAGAAAGTCATTTTGACATGTACTCATTTTTCAAGTTATTCTCCCTTTCATGTGAATTTAATAATTTAATATTCAAATCTCCATGTCTTTAGTTTTTGTTTGTGTTGGCGTTGGTGTGGCCTCTAAAGACTGTCCATTTTCCTTAGTTAACTCATTGCTAGTATATTTATTGAACTTAATATGTGCCAAGCACCAAGACAGGCACTGAGTGGATAATGACAAATGAAGCAGTCCTGACCTTGTCATGGGGCTCAGAATCTAATGAGAAATTCTGGCATAAATAAAATCTCCAGAATATCTATTGTTACTTTGAGCCAACAGGCCTTCGAGTTACCTTAGAGTTTATCCCCAGCTCAATTTATCATTGCAGCTGATCTCCGATGGACTGCATGAGGACCTAATCTCTGAGCCTGACATCCCTGTCCAATTACTTTTACAGTTGACTTGGAATCACTCCCAGTGTTCCAGTTCCAAATTTCCAATAGTGAAGGAATGAATATGATATACGTATTCAGTCGATTATTTGCTCAGTGGCTTATTCTGAAGCCATTAAACGATGACTATGAAGACATCTGTGACGTGATAGTAATTGGAAAAAGGAACACATTATGTGTATGTCAACGTTACAGCTGTTTAAAAAGTAGAAGGGGGGAAGGCAAAGTACATTCATCACCATGCTCATATGATTGTGAAGAGCGCCTTGTAAAGGGATCTAAGGTGGGCTGGGGCTGGAACCCAGTGTCTTCCAGCCAAGTCACAGTAAATCCCTGCATCTGGGGGAGGCTGGAAAAGGAATGGAAAAAATGTGCAGAAGGTGCACTTGACTTGTGGATTCAGAAACAGAAGTCATGCTAATGCTCTGAAATAGGGAGAAAGGTGGGTGTTGTGGGGCCTGAAGCCTGGGGACAGTTCTCGCTAAAGAAAAGAATATCAAATTATAAGTGCAAAATGACTGGGTTTAATTGCAGTGCCTTAAAGGGCCTCACGAACTGAAGAAATAAAAACTTCAGGAAGTAAAGCTGCTTTGGCTTCATTGTAAATCCACCTGTGGCAATGATATAAACACATGTTTTGATCCAGGTGGACAATAAAAGCAAATAAAATATAAGTGCCATCTTATAGAGATGCCATGGGCTGCCCCTGCCTCTACTATGCCCTCTATTTCCCTACAATCATGATTGGGTTGCTTTAATTATTTTTCTTTTCCTCTTTGGCCAAAATGTTAATGCATTTTTATATTATTTATATTACTGAATCATATGTTATTATAGATTGTTATTACAATGGAGCATAAAAATATCCCATAGTTCTTCCCTTAGCTCTCCTTAGCTCTGCGTTAGGCAGCCAGCAGTTTTGCTCAGCTTCCTAAGGAGCAGGGCACATGTACAAGAGCATTTGACTTTGTTTTCCTGTGTGTGTTTTTTGTTGTTGTTTCTTTTTTGCAACTAGCTGTGGTACAATATTTATTGCTTAATTGTTTAATGTTTGTTCCCCTTTATTAAAAGGTAAGTTCTGTAGGTACAGTGACTATGCCTGTTTTTGCCTTCAAAGTCTAGTTCTTTCCTAGCAAGTGCTCTGAAGTATGGGCTGAATGAATGAATCACTGAAAACACTTTTAACATCCCGTCCTTAATAAACGCATTTTGTTAATGTGGCAAAAATGCTTAACACCAAAAATAAACCATTACAATAGTAGTATGACAAAAGTAATCCAGAGAAAGTTATCCATACTTAATCTACAATAATATGCGAAGGGATCATATTCATTAATTAGATCCAGTTTTTCAGAAATACAGTGAAAAGATTTTAATGAATATACCCATTTCCTCTTACTCAGATTAGCAAACAGCAAAACTGCCACTCATCAGAAAGTTCTATTTAGGTTATGATGTCAGATCATTGTCACTGTCCCACCTCAGCTTTGTCCAATTCTGACAAGCACCAATTTTAATCATTTCTGTTTGAACTTTTTAGGTGGTTAATAAATAATAATTGTATAGTAAGTTAAATAATGATTTCATAACTTTGTTGATTGATTTATTGCCTTTAGACATATCTTAACCCAACCATGGGATTTTGTCTTTCTCTGCTTCAACTTCTTTTTAAAGTGCGAATAAATGTAGTAATTAATTGAGATATTATATGTATAAGTTCTATGAGTATTAAATGAGCTATAGAGGTAAGGTTCTTATAACTGCTTTAAATGTAGTTAATATATTTGCTGTATTAGAGTTATTTTATAGCATTAATATTAACCACATTATTATTTGTACTACCTGTATAACATTCTCCCTTAACTCTATAAAGAAATTAGACTTCCGTGCTGTATTCACCTTGCTTTCCTCACACCCATTTTTTTCCATATCTGACCTCTTGGTCCCTTCAGAAAGAAAATGCCCAGGTGTTTAATGCCCTGCTTGCCTGTGGGGTGATCTTCCCAAAAGTTTGGCTCTATCACTATTATCTCTGTTGGCTTCCTCCATCTCCACATTGACCTTCTATTGTATTTCTAACATAGGAGCCCAAATCTCCACCCATAATGCCCAGGTGGTGCATGAACTCCGTCATTGGAGCACAGCTAAAATAAAATATACATTGTCTACAATACTTCTGAATAATATGTAGAATATTGTAGACAGCTATATTTTGTATACATTTTAAGCCATAGTACTGAACAGGAAGACATACTCATTAAATTTGAACTAACCACATTGCAAGGTTTGGGGTGTATTTGCTTGTCCTTGGGCCAATTTTATAAATTTTGTGTCTGTTTTCTTCGTTGTTTCATCAATACTTCCCTTGTTGGAGTTCTTTAGGTGTCTAAATGATATAAAAACCTGTTATACCACAATTGCTGTTCAACAAATAATACCTTTTACTAAAGTGTTGATAATAGTGATGATGATAAAGATAGTAATGGTGATGATGATTATGGTGATCATAAAAATGATAACAATAATACCTCCCTATAAAAGTTGTTCGTGTCTAAATGGGATAATTTGACATATCACAGTAGGTTTTCAACAAAGAATACGTATTATTAAGGGGATGCTGGTGGTGGTGGTGGTAATGGTGGTGGTGGTGATAACAACAACGAGTGTTTTTGAGCATTGCAAAATTCCAGCTTTAGCTCTGTTGATAATACCAAAAGACTCACGTTGGTGCACATAGTCATTTAGTTGTCTGCCCTCTATCTTAGAAAAAAAAAATAGGTGTTTCAATGAAAATCAGTTATTTAATTTTAGTTGGATACTTGCAAGTGAGTACAGATAGCTATGTTCTCTCCTATGCAGACTGAAACTTAGTTTTGCATAACTAGTTCCCATGTCAAGTTAGAAGAGTTTGGCTTGCCTTAGTCTGCATCTTTGTTTAGTTGAGCTGCCTCTCTGTTGATCCTTGGGTGTGTGTTTGCAGTGCCTGCATCGGGGCCCAGGACCCTTACTGTGGCTGGGATGTGGTGATGAAGAAGTGCACCAGCCTGGAGGAGAGCCTGAGCATGACTCAGTGGGAGCAGCCGCTCTCCACCTGTCCTGTAAGTGTCTGCGCTCTCGGGCCTCTGAGCACCCTGTCCTCAGTCACCCCGCTGTCCTCAGTCACTAACCAGCCCTTTAAGAACGTCCATGCGTTTTTATCTTAGAACATTTCCTGCACCCCCGTCTGTGCTCTCTTAACTTACTCAGCTCTTCCCTTGCACGGCCACCACGTGGACACCTACATAAGCTTTTTGTCTGTAGAGGAAACAGTGCTGGTTTGAAGAATGGGTGTAATATATCTGTTTTAGTCTTGGATTTTTATCTACGGAGTTTGGTGTGAACCATTGTGCCCTTTGTAGCATTAATAAAATAGTACCTTCCACACCCATCAATTTCCCTGGGGAGCCATAGTTCCAGAAGCCAAGATAAGTAGAGCTTTTAAAAGAATGAACTAAAGGCAATTACCATGGAGCCCCATGTGGGACAGTCTTGTAGATCCTGCTCAGGGTCACAGCAAGGTCTGGGAGAGACAGCCTAATGTACATTCCCACAGTGAATTCTGCAGAATGAAGAGCAGCTCACTTGCATTTGGAGTCAGACTCTGAATCCAAGAAAACCGTTTCCACATTTTCTGTTGCCAATATACTTATTTGAGTCCTCACTTCTAAGAACCAGCTGTTTTGTTTTTTTTAATTTATATTTTATCTCTCTCTCAAGGAATATGATTAACAGCTATTAGCTTCCACACATTTGCAAATTTATTAAGTTACTTTGCTGTCATGTAACTACTGTTCTTTGTGACTGTCAGCTCTGGCTGGCATTCTGCTGTGAGACAGGGCTGAGAAGGGAAGCTCCACATCCATTATTTGAAATCTGTGCTGTTGCTTCAATACAGAACTGCCTGAGGCATGTGAACTTTGGGTCTGCATTCTGTCAAGGAGCTTGCTAATTCTCTTATCTAAACCCATGTGCATTAAGGCTGTCCTTCCATTTGTAAGTGGGAAAACAGAGTGACGTGTCGAAGGCCAGCGCTATGAAAACCAGTGTCCTTCCCCAAGTGATGGCACCAGATGAATGTATAACCTCATCTGGCTACAAGCAAATCTTTGCAAGGGGGTTAGCTGATAATCCTTTGAGTGATAGCTTCAGATCTCTGATGTGAGAAGCAAATTTGTCTGCAGTGTTTCTTGAAATAAGTCCCTTTTCATTTCTGAACAACTCTCAAGAAGCACAATGGTGTTCACATTCTTTTTTTTTTTTTTTTTTAATCCTCACTGAGGTTATGTTTTTATTGATTTGAGAAAGAGAGAAAGGGAGGGAGAGAGAGAGAGAAACATCAATGTGAGGCAAAAACATTGATCTATTGCTTCCCATAAGCACCACCATCAGGCATCAAACTTGCAACCTAGCTAGGTATCCTGACAAGGAGTTAAACCCGGACCTTCTGGTGCTTGAGACGGTGCTCCAAGCAACTGAGCCAACCAGTCAGGGCCAGAGAAAACCACATGGATTCTCTGAAATGTCATTCTAATGTACTGTGTGCACTTTAGAAGAGTCAGCACCCCTTCTTCTGGATATTTGACCTTGACATTTTAATGATAGATAGCAATTCTTGTTGTTTTTAATCCTGACCACAGGATATTTTTTCCATTGATTTTTCTTTTTCTTTTTCTTTTTTATTTTTTTTTTATTTTAGGGAGACAGAAGGGAGGGGGAGAGACAGAAAGAGAAACTGACATGAGAGAGACAAATCAATTGGTTGCCTCCCAAATTGGGGCCAGGGATCGAGCCTGCCACCGAGGTATATGCCCTTGACCAGAATCAAACACATATTCTACAGTCTGAGGGCCAATGCTCTAATCACTGAGCAGAACTGGCAAGGGCAATAGCAGTTCTTCTTAAATGATGAGGCCATAGGTGTGGGACCCATAGTTGTTTTATTAAATATCTGAGGCAATATCTGAGGCATGCTTACCTATGTAATGGGAAATACACATGCTGCTACTTGGTTTATGACAAATATGTGTCCGGTATATTTCTACAGTAGGAAATCAGAGATGAGCCCAGCTGGTGTGGCTCAGTAGTTGTATGTCCACTCATGAACCAGATCATATTTCCATTCCCAATCAGGTCAGATGCCTGGGTTGTGAGCTTGATATCCCCAGTAGGGGGAGTGCAGGAGGCAGCCTATCAATGATTCTCTCTCATCATTTATGTTTTTTTCTCTCTCTCTCTCTCTCTCTCTCTCTCTCCCTCCCTCCCTCCCTCCCTCCCTCTCCCTTCCTCTGAAATCAATTGAAAATAACAACATAAAAAGAAATAGAGTTAACCCAATATTTAAGAAATGACTAGAGGGTTGTTACTAAAGTTGTCAGTGCTACTTGAGAGGAACATTTTTGTTATAAACTCAGGAAAGGAGGAGGGTGATGTGGATCTACCCTGGTGTTAGAGCTATCCCTCTACCTTCTCTGCTGTAAAATTATACTTGAGATGTAATCACCCATTCACTGTCCAGAAAACATGTAACAAGGTCCCCCTTTTTTTTTTTTTTTTCCTTGTTTGAGGTGATTTTCTTATACAATATCATCCCTATCATCTCACCCTATATAATATTTTATATTCAAGATACACTTTTAATAAGTTAACAATATGGAAAGCATCTAACAACAGAGAACAAATTATGTCATTGAACAATAATCAGGAAATAAAACAACATATTTTCTCATATATGAAGGCTACCATGTAGAAAATGAGAAGCTTTGAATATCCCAACTACTATTTTAATTATGTATTCTTTTCTAACAATCTGTTTCTTAGAGAGAAATGAACTAGATGAAAATTATTAACATTTTTTTAGAGCAGTCTTAGAGCGGTATTTTGAAAGTCTATTGAAATGTAATTTGCTTCTATGTTATTTTTTAGTTTTGACTGAAATGGAAAAAAAGCTTAATTTTACTCACCAAATCTACCATATTTCATCATTTCTGATATGTCATTGGTCTTGAAGTATGCCTCTATTTTATAAGGGGAAAAATGCTTCTATGGATTGCAAGATGACAACTGATTTCAGAGATGTAAACATACATATTATAATCAGCAAAGTACATTTCTTTGTTTATCTACATATATTTAGCAAAAAAAAAATTAAGCTTTATAAGCTGAGGGATTTTTAAATGAGACCAGCACATCTAATATCCAGTTGAATAGTGAGAGGTCCTATTCCGTGGAGCTCAAGATTAGAGGGGTGATGAATGTGCTGAGATTGAAACCACACCTTCGGGGCCACCTTGTAAGTCTTCTCGAATGTTGGACAAACAGCTGAGGTAGTTTTCCAGCCACACCTCAGGCATAGGCTGCCATTTGCTGCTTAGAACCTCTGCTCTCCAGAGAGTTCAAGTTGCCAATGGGACCCTAGAACCTTTCCAGGCACTTAGCAACTTAAGACCCATTTTCCATCTCACAGTCCCTATTAAAAATGTTAATAGATTTCTGTTATGCAGGACAGAGGGCAATAATTGACTGACTATTGACTAAAGTTCTATTTGTATATGTAAATGTTATTAAAACATTGTTCCCAGTTTAATGGGTTTGAAGTGCTTAGAGCAAGATCTAAATCCATCGTATTTAGCATGATTTGAAAAATATGTATATGTATCCTGCATGGGCTGCAATGTTGCCTAATAAGAATCTACCTGGACTTTATGTGTGCATACTGTCCCCATCCTTTGTGCCTCCTGGGGAGAGGAGGCATCCATGCCAGGGTTGTGTGGGCACTAGAAGCCATGCCCTTGAACAGGCTATGCCCCAGCTGGGGAGGGGAGGGCACTAATCTATATAAAAATGCAACAGAATTGTACATCTGTGGTTTTTCACCGTACTTCTTCTTGTTCTTTGGTCTTCTCACATTAGTGGATAATTCTGCCATCATATGATGGTCAATTCTGCCATCATATGATGGCACCCTGCAAATTCCCTCCCCTCCTCCTGCTCCTTCTCTCTCTTCTTTTCCTCCTACATTGCCTTCTTTTCCTTTTCTGCCTTCTTTTCCTCCCCCACTGTCTCCACCATTATCCTCACCAATGACTTCTTATGCTTTACTCTGAATTAGTCAAGCCCCCCCCCCTTCATCCATTTTTATTATAATATAAAATATTCTAAGTCAGTTCTGATTGTCTTGTGAGAGTCATTTTATTTTCTCTTTATGTTTGCAGCCTTAACCCTTTCTGACATCCTTCTTGTATCTGCTCCCTAGACGAGGAACCTCACTGTGGATGGGCACTTTGGTTCGTGGTCCCCATGGACTCCTTGCACGCACACGGATGGCAGCGCCGTGGGAACCTGCCTCTGTCGCACCCGCGCTTGTGACAGCCCGGCCCCCCAGTGTGGCGGCTGGCAGTGCACAGGCCCCCGCATGGAGATCACCAACTGCTCCAGGTGCGTGGCTCCCAGCACTCAGGCCTGTTTTCACGTGTGTAGTCTTGACTGCAGAGGAGTTTGGGAAACCATTCATAATATGTAACTTCCGGCCTCAAGAGAAAGGCAGAAAAAGACAGAGACACCTACCACGTCAAAACTGCATTTTCTATGGAAGGAGATTCTAAACTCTAGAGTAGATTATAAATCTGATCCTGTTCTTATGTCCCTCATTAGATTAAGAAAAACATTGCTCATAGGCACAATATTATCAGCTTCTTTAAGGAAAACATTCATGTCAATGACAGTCAATGACAGTCTTGTTGTCCCTTATTAGACAACACTGCCAGGCTCCTTTGTTGTGTGCTGGCCAATCCACGTGGCTCTTCACAACTGTCTCTTTCTGTTGACAGCATCAGTGACCCCCAGTGGTTAAAAGGAAGAGATGTAGGTCCCGCCCTTCTGACTTTGCTAATAGGTGGTTAGTAAAGATGAAAGCAAGACTCAGATTAAATGTAGGCAGACACTCGAAACTGTGACATAGCTGTTCTTGTAAACATGGGGCCCCAGGTCCCTGTCCCTTAGGCCTACTGACATGAACACCTAGGAGAGGTTCACACAATGCAGATGTGATGCTCTGGGAGCTGGTCAGCCAACCTCCTAGGCCAGTGGTCGTCAAACTCGTTAGTCAACAGAGCCAAAGGTCAACAGTACAATCATCGAAATTTCTTTTGAGAGCCAATTTTTTTAAACTTCTTCTAACGCCACTTCTTTAAATTAGACTCGTGCAGGCTGTGGTATTTTGTGGAAGAGCCACACTCCAGGGGCCAAAGAGCCACATGTGGCTCTTTAGCTGCAGTTTGCCAACCACAGTCCTAGGGGAACCAGGGGAGGCACCCTCTGTTATTATGGATATTGCACATTTTGACTAATAATTACTTCACATTGAGAAATGAGATTTTATTGGAATTCCATTTCTTAATGCCACTGTTTTTAATTCCCAATTATTGTTCCAATTCAGGCAACCCCTTTATTGAATCAGACAGGGCTTTACACCAATTCCATCTTTCTGTGTTATTTTTCTAGTTCTAAGTTTGGATGGATCTTTCTTACATAAGTGGTTGGGAATGTAATGCCAACACTGTCACTCACTTCCCTGGGTTTTTTCAAACTTATCTATAATACCAAAATCATGATAAGCTAACATCAAATACTTTTGTAATATCCTGTATTAGTTAAGAAACTGTTTATGCTGGTCTTTGATTTTGTTGGAAGTAAAACATTGGAAACCACCTAATTTGCAAATCAAATTTTTTGTTATTCAGTACAGTCAAATACTTTTCAATTTGTGCAAAGTATACCAAAGAACCTTTAAGACGACCATTCAAATGATCCTAAATTCAATCTGTTATTCTTATGTATAGACACCTTATTTAACCCAACACACTCAAAAAGTGTTTGAAAATTTGAAATGTTGTTAATTTAATACAATTTACAATTATAATATTTTTGGTTATATGCTTTATCTTATCACATCATTTAAATATGTTTTCTCAATACCTTGGAGCAGCAGGACTAAAGACATTCAATTTATGAAAAGAAATCCACAATATAAATTAATTAGCTAAGCCAGACTTTTATATCAAACCAGGGCCACGTCAGATTGGAAAAATATGGTTTTATTTTTATCATTAAAATGAACATTTGAATGTGCATCCTTATGCCATTATATCACTTCTGAATTCTAATTCTTCTCAGGGAGAAAGAGAAGGGATTGATTGAAAGAGAAAGGGGGCAAGAAAGAGAAAGATGATTAATTGATTAAGAAATATAACTAGGTAATAAAAATGTTGGAGGTCAAGGGTAAGCCCCAAGTCTTGACAGGCATTTGTCCTCTAAATGCACTAAGTCTCAGCAGCCTTCCAGTTGTCTAACCTATACCTTCCCTTATGGAACTTTAGGAGAAAACCCCTGTTTGTCCTCAGAGTCAGGAGTACCACTGTGGCAGGATATTTGTATTCAGGACCAATAAAGGACTTAATTATTCTCGGGGGAAATCCATAGTTGGGGTGACCCTTGATGGGTTAGATGACCCTTGGTGGGTTAGATCCTCTCAGATAGCTATAGCCAACAAGCCTCTCAGCAGCTAGAAGGCAAGCTCAGTCCTCAGGACACATGTGTGGAATCCATCCTCTGCTCTGTGGCAGTAGCTGAGAGATAGAAGAAGTCATATCCAAGTCAAAAGGTTCTCTGCTCTGTAGTATATATGAGCTCCCTGCTCTGTAAGATTCAATACTGGGTAACCTGGAGACCTGCTCAAGCAGCTTGATCCATTGAGTGGGTTCCTAAGCTTCTGCTTAGTGTTTTGTTGTTGCAGTTTGATTTTCTTTTACAGCTGTACTCAATTATCGCCTCTGTCCCCGGCACCTATGGCACCATGACCACAGCAGAATTTTATATTTTATAAAAGCGGTTCATTTTATTTTTATCTTTTACTATCTGTACCTTATTGCCTATCCATATATAAATAACAAATTTAGATAAACACAGTTTGCAGTCTTTATATTCTACATCTTTGTCAAATTATAAGAAAATAGCCAAGAATCCGAATTTAAAATATCCTTCATTCATTTTTAATAAAGTTTGTTTTAAAACTCTAGATGTTACTATGTCCTATATCAATATGAGTGCTACCAAGAGAATTACTGATTTTCATTGATTTTAAAAGTAAGCATTATGTGTAGATTTAGATCATTGTTTTGTTTATATGTGTACTTTAAATTAAAACTAAAATAGTACAAGTCAAGTGAAAGTATACATTCTAGAGTTAGGGGGATTCATCTCTAATTGCTTTTCAATGAATTAACATTGCTTATTAGATTTACATTTTCAAAATGAATGTTTCTTAATAGTTTCTAATATAGCCCATTTTGAATTCTTTATAGTGCACTTAAAATGTCACTCTTAAATTTCCTACCCGGACTCTGACATCAGATACCAGGGAGAAAAATCTCACAGTAACAGATCCCTAGGATGCATGGTCCTAGTTCCCTTTCTCTTCACACACGTTATCGGTGGTCCACGTAGGGAAGCACCTTTATTGGGAGGTGGGTGTAGACGAGGGATGGACTCTGAGCCAGTGTGACTCAGTGACTGCATTGCTTCCTCCCCCAGGAATGGAGGCTGGACCCCCTGGACCTCCTGGTCTCCCTGCAGCACCACCTGTGGGATCGGCTTCCAGGTGCGCCAGCGGTCCTGCAGCAACCCCACGCCCCGGCACGGGGGCAGGGTGTGCGTGGGACAGAACCGGGAGGAAAGGTATGTACCGCTCTGCCCAGCATTGCCATCCTCCCACTTTCTGTCATTCCAGTGCGGTCGGTTCCCTGCGGTTTTATTTCTGGATCCAACTTAGCTTATCTGTGGCAACCCTTTCTGTTGAGTTGAACTGTCCTCTTTTCCTGACTCCTTAAACTTTGACCAAAGCCTCGTGTTGACAGCTTCCCTGGGCTGCTGTGGTCCCTGTGTGGTCCTCTTAACTGAGCAGTTCCCAATGGACTGGAGCTCCAGGCACAGTGGGCAACCTGCCCCTGTCTGTGGAGCTCAGCAAGTGTGTTTGCTGGAGAAAGCTTGTGTTTGTTGGAATCTAGCTGTCCCAGTCTCAAAACCTCCAGTTCCGTGTAAGAGCAAAGGCGGTCCTGGGTCCAGATGTGCTGGCCAGATGAAGTGAGGGTCTCCATCAGAACTACACTAAGTAGCTGGAGCATAGGTGGGAACCTAGAGAAGGTTTTGGTTATATCTATAACTAGTACACACTCTTCTATTACCAGACACCCTCGGTTCAGCTACGGTAGGACCCAGGGTGGGGCAATCTGTCCCGTGTGTATTTTAAGCTTTCAGCACGTCCTAGGGACAGTTCAGTTCAGTCTTGCATTTAACAGTTTGTTGGTTTTTATAGAATCAGACATTTTATTCTGGCCTCATAAAATCTACAGTTGTGGTATTTCACTCTCTCTTGCATATTTAAAGTACATTTCCATTTATGGTCGTTGGAGAATATCCAAGTAGGTAATTTTCACATCACTTTCGGGGTTCTTATTCTGCCACACTCCCATAAACTTATTGTATTAGTCCCATGTGAAAGAAAATGACTTTCAATACCTTTTAATTAAAATGTGATAAGGCTTGGATCTTGTGATATGGATTCACTGGGAGCCTCATAAAATACCGTGTGCAGACATTTGTAATGTGGTAAATATTTATATAGACAATGTAATATTTATATATTATACTTACACATAGTCTTGCCATACAGATAATCCTCTACTATGTATTTATTACAATCTCAAAACAACCAGACAATATCATTTTTTTCTTTCTTCACCGTGTTCCTAAATTACCAATTAAGATTTTATTCCTTTCAACTCTGAGGCACATGAAAGCTGATTTTTGCAGTGCAGGGTGGTCATTTTTTAAGTAGTTGCCCCAAGATAGTCTCAAGAAAGTATATCATTTCTGAGCTAATATTAGTTGGTAAGAAAGCTGATTATGGGAGAGCGGTCTCCCTGCTATTTCTAAGCCTTGTAAGATTTAATTTTGGTTGGTAGTAAGCCAGTCAGAGAAAGACAAATACCCTATGATCTCACATATATGTGGAATCTAATGAAAAAAAAAATAACCTGACAAACAAAAATAGAAACAGAGGTATGAATATTTGGAATAGAATGACAGCTGTCAGAGGGAAGAGTGGTTGGGGGATTGGGTGAAAGAAGATGAAGGGATTAAGCAAAACACACACACGCACACACACACACACACACACAACAGGACACATAGACATAGACAACAGTATGGTGACAGCCAGAGGGAAAAGGGGGTTGGAGGGTGAGTGGAGGTGGGTAAAGAGGAAAAATATGGGGCAAGGGGTAAATGATACAGTGTTCAGATGATGTTTTATTGAGTTGTACACTTGAAACCTGTATGGTTATGTGAACCAATGTCACCCCAATAAATTCCTTTTTAAAATGCTATACATTGTCATAGAACACAGCCCACTCAGGCAAAACCACCTTCACCTGTGAGGAGCTGCTCTTAGAATCCCAGCACCTCTACACATCCCACACCTGTGGTCACCTTTCCCGGGCTGAGCACCCAGGAAGCATTGAGCTGTTTAGCTCTGGTAAACATATATGTATGTTCAGTACTCATTTAGGATTGTTCTTAAAGCTATGTTTTTAGGAAAAGATCAGAATGGCTAGTGTTTGGAGGACTTGCATTCAAATGTTCTTTCTTTCTTTTTTTTTTTTTTTAACAGAAGAAATGCTCATTTGGGCTAAATAAACATTTGGTTAATGGAGGAAATTTGGATTTATGTAATAAATGGATGGATGTTAAGAACAGGGACTATGTAAGATTTTTATAAAACTGAAGCCTTTCTATTGAATAGCCTTAGTGGCTTGGCAAGAGGTTAATGAAAACCAGAAAAACCAAGAACATGATATTTCTTCCTTGGTCTCCACAAGCAAATAATTCTTAGATTTGCCATGTTCTGTGGCAGGTTGGAGGTCACCTAAGTAATATAAAGGAATACCACCCATTACAGACATTTTAGAGGTAAACTGAAGATTAAAGGAAACCTGGTCTCCATTGGAAGGAACAAAAGGCCAAGGAATAAGCATCCACTACCATTAACACAATGATGCCAGGTGTATTTAAACTCCAACAACCCTAAGAACTTCTCAGAGACTGCAGCAAATAGACTGATTCTCCCCCAAAACGCCCCTATGTTAAAGCCAGGATTAGCGGTGGTCATTGAGACCAAATCTCCCAAATGGGGAATAATTCAATGAGAACTTTATTGCAACAAACATCTCGGAAATATTCATATCACTTTTTTCGAAATAATAAAGAAAATACCTTATTTTTTTACATACACTCTAAAAGCAATGGACACTTTGTTTATCTGTTCCAAATTACCCAGAAATGATTTTCACCAGTATCAGGAACTGTGTAGAAACTTGATTTCCAAAGAAGCCACCAACAAGGATGAAGCCATGGTCTTTTGTCTGAATATTATCCAAAAGCAAATGTCATGATCTGTGCTAGTTTCCTCCTGCTCTGTAACAACAGTTCCAAAACCACATACCTTTATTATTATTATTATTATTATTATTATTATTATTATTATTTCTCAGCCTCAGTCATCCGGCGATCCATTACGACTTATCTGGGTTCTCTGCTGGGCCAGAGATGTGATCTCATCTTAGGGTCAACTAGGGAAGGGCTTACTTCCAAATCATGGTGGTTATTGTCAGCATTCAGTTCCTCATGGGCTTTCAAAATGAGGACTCTGGTTTCTTATTAGTTGTTAGCCAGAGTATGCCCTCAGTTACTTGCCAAATAAGCCTTCTTATCATGGTCATTTACTTCCTCAAATCTAGTAAGGAGATTGGGAAGGTGGGGTGGGAGAGACAGGGGACCCGAGGGTATATACACTCTTGTATTACCTCACCACAAGCTGGCATGCCATCAGCTTGCATATTCCTTTGTTTGGAAGTAAGACACATTTCTTGTCTGCACTCAGGAGGGAAGCTTACACAGGACTTGGATACCAGAATTCGGGGATCATTGCAGTCACCTGAGAGTTTGTGTCATAATCTGTAGATTACCTGTCCCTTAGTCATTCACATCCCTTCACATGCAAAATGCATCTCACCCACTCCCAAGGTCTCCTAACATTTGATACCATTAAATCATTTCACCAAATGTCAGGACTTTTATCATGTAAATTGGGCCCACATGTAATTGAGGTTCCCTCCATGTGGTTCCTTTCGGTTTGTCAACATGAGAGACAAGTGATCTGTGACCAATGTACCCAACATGCTATGGGGGAACAGGCAAAGGGTACCTGCTATGGACATTTCTGTTGAAAAGGGGGAAATGTAACCACTGCTGCATAGAAATTCTGAAAGCTAGAAAGATAGGTGTTGGGAGGTACTGGGGGTAGGGTGGGAGTGGGATAGGGGTGTGTGTGCTCAATTAAGTTTCAAGGCCTGGCCATAATTTGCCCTGGTTCATGGCTTTGCCTTCTGTGCTCTCAGTTCCACTTCCTGAATCTTATTTCCTTTAAAAGGTAGTATATGCTTGCTTCTGGGTGCTCTCATCAGCCTGCTTTCTTCCAGTAGAATTTTGGGTTTTCTAGAGCCTCATTAGATTTGTACTTCCCATGTCTCTTACAATCCAAGTTGGTACTTGGCTGAAAAAAAACTCTGTGGATCTTCCCTGGTCTTCCTTGGCATTGACTCCACTAAATAAATCTACACCCACAGATGCTTGTGAGATAGCCCTGCTCTACCTGGGAATCCTGCCAAGATGGCTGAGAGACAAGTCCTTGCTCTTGACCTCTTGAAAGGACCCTTTGTGTGACCGAATACTACTCTGATCATTTGATCCTTCTGAGGTTTTAACAAAAGGTTGTATAGTCACATCCTCAGCAGTTTCCTGCATGCTCAGAAGGTTTTTCTTGATTTTAGCATCTTTTGCCCTGTGGAGAGTCTCAGGATTGCCAAAATGATTCGGCCCTGGTTCCATCTGTTTAATATTTCTTCCCTCAATTTCTTTATTTTATCACACATTTAACCATAAACAGGAAGAAGAAACGAAGAAGTACCTCCACTCCTTTCTCTGGGAATTTTCTTAACTACATAACTATTTGACACTTACATGTTCTGCTTTCATAACTTCAGCAGCAATTTTGTGAATATGTTCTTATTTCCTTTTTAACTTTTGTTGTCATGTATAACATAAAACTTGCCATTTAATTATTTAAGTGTACAATTTAGTGGCATAAATTGCATTGAGAATATTGTGCTATCCTTGTCACCATCTATTTCTAAAACTTTTTCATCCTCCCAATCAGAAATTCTGAAACTATTAAGTAATAACTGTCTTTTTCTCCTTCTTTGCAATCCCTTGTATCTTCTAATCTATACTCTCTCTTTCTATGGATTTGCCTAGACTAGCTATTTCATATAAAATCAGGTGATGTCTGCCCTCTTCTATGTGGCTTATTTCATTGAGCATAATGTTTTCAAGGTTCATCCATGTTGTAGCATGTATCAGAAGCATATTTCCTTTTTCATGGCTGAATAACATTTGACTGTATGGCTATACCATATTGTATTTATCTATTTACCCATTAGTTGACATGTGGGATATTTCCACATTTTGTTTATTGTAAATAACATTGCAGTAAACTCTGGCATATGCATGTCTGTTCATTCCTGCTTCATTTCTTATGTGGATTTATCTTAAAGTAGAAT